AATAAAATATGTTATTGAGGTTAATTGGCTTGTTCAGCCTGGAGAAAAGAAGACTGAAGACAGACCTCACTGGGGTGTCCAGCATCCTCACAAGGGAAAACAGAGGTGCAGGTACTAATCTTTTCACTCTGGTGACCAGAGACAGTACACAAAACTAGAATTCAAGTAATGTTTAGACAATGCTCTCAAACACATGGGCACATGGTGGGATTCTTAGGATGACCTGTGCAGCTGCAGGAGTTGATTCTTGTGGGTCCCTTCTAACTCAGGATATTGAATGATTTACCATAAAATTAGAATCAAGAACACAGCCTCTTATTAGTGACAGAAGCTGGTTCTTGTAGGGATCTTTTAGTTACCCAGATATCTGTAAAGCGAACAGGTAAGGGAATGTTGCCTCATCACATACATTTAAATACTAAAACCAAAAAGAAATCCAAACTTTAAATAGGTTGAGGCTGACTGGGAGGTCAGAATAACACAATTTAATTATTTGCTAATATGAAAATTTGCAAGTAAAACAGAAATGTCACTGTGAACTACAAAGTATATAATAAATACTAGATTAATCAGTTTTTAAAACCAGAAGATACCAGAAGTAGTATTTATGCCACTGATACACAGATAACTGTACACAGGCAAGACTGTTTTAAGATTTTATATTAAACTCAGTAGTTTTTGAGGGAATTTGAGTATACTGTTTTAGAAAACTATTCAAAACTTGCAAGGTTTTGCTGCTAAAGCAACTTCTCTCATGACCAGTAACAGGACTCACAGGAATGACATGAATCTCTCTCAGGAGAAGTTTAGGTTGGCTATCAGGAAAATGTTCTTTACACAGAGGGTGGCTGGGCACTAGAACAGGCTCCCCAGGGCAGTGCTCACGGTATCAAGGCTGACGGAGTTCAAGAAATCTATGCAGGACTATAACTTGGACTTAATACTTGTGAGTCCCTTTCAACTTAGGATATGATGCTACAATTCTGTGACAAAAAAAACCCCATCTGACTAGATTTCTAGAATTATTCTCTGTAATGTTATGAAATATAATCTTCATAGACATTCATGTTTGTACAACCAGCAACTGTAATTGTCAAAATAATTATTCTAAGCATTAACTAAAAGAAGACCAATGAGGGTACACAATCATCTAATGAACTATATTCAATTGCCTAAAAGAGCAACCACTAAAAGGACATTTAAAAGTGATATTCACTTTTTTTTTTTTAATAAATGCTTAAGTTAAAAAACTGTTATCCTATTTATCAACTGTTATCCTATTTATAAATTCCCCAGCATCTCAAAAGATTCCTCAATACACAAAATCTGGCACTAAAATACCCTTTATGTACTGGAATGTACTGATTATTATAGAAACCAGTGGTTTATCTAGTGCCCCACTCTGAACCCCAGCAGAGGCTACAGGTCTTGGGTATACTGAAAAAAAAGTCACGAATAGATGGGGTGGAAGGCTATGCCTGAAGTTAGTCATTAACTACAGAATGAACTAAACTTACTTTTTCTGTAACTAGGGAGACCGGAGCGGAGCAGTCTGGCCTTGATTAATGTTAAACTCAGTTAACGCATTTGGTTCTAACTTAGTTTTAAAGCATTTTCAATTTGAAGTAACTTTGGAAAAGATGAGTCTGGGATGCCCTGCTGAAGAGTGAGCAAACATTCTACACTAACGAAGATTCAAGTGGATTACAAATCAAGTTTAGAGGAAAAATTTTAAGTGGAACAATCAAATACACCCAATTTATATTCATACAGTGGTTGGAATTAGGGTGCAAACTCTGTTCTGTTGGCCGCTGTGAAAAGTGACAACATAACCTTGATTATCAAAGGAGTAACTTTAGAGGTGCTTGTAACTTTTAGACTTAGCAAATTATGAAAAGTATTATGCAACAGCAGAACCCAGTTATAAACTGACACAGTGTACATTTTCCTAGCCCTAAAAACTCTGCTATCATCTCAGGTAAATTTACTTCTGCGACAAAACCGATGGGGCAAAAAGGGGGTGCAAAACAGCTCTTGAATGGGTCTACTAAACAAACAGCTTACCCCTCTTGAAGAAGAAGCTGCACAACGTCGAGGTGTCCATTTCTAGCGGCGTACATGAGGGCTGTCCAGCCATTCTGTGCGGCTGCATCGAGCAGCGACGGGGCGAGCCCGAGCAGCGCCTTCAGCCTGGCCGTGTCCCCAGCAGCAGCGGAGCCATGCAGCTCAGAAACCATGTCCTGGTGCAGGTTCTTTTCAGAGTCACTCATTGTGCCTCCCGAGTTTATGAGAAAGAAAATAAAAATGCCCGATGTGAAAAAAACCGCCCATCACTTGGTTTTAAAAATTTTAAAAAGTTTAATAATAATAAAATGATTATAAAAATAGTAATACAGATAAAGTAATAAAATTTAGAGTTAGGACAATTATAAGATAATAAAAAGCAAAGAATTACAGACGTCCAGATGCTCTCGGACACTAAGTCACAAAAAGTATACCTTGTGAACAAAGGAATAACCTTAAAAGCCGTAGCCTGTTGCATATTCATATATCCTTCATGGTTATACATACATTCTATTTAAAACAAGAACTCTATTCTGTTGTATATCAACTGTTTCCTTTAATCCCCAAGGCGACTTCGAGTCTGAGCAAGGCCTGAAAAAATTAGCTTCTTCTGATAAGAAAACCATAAATTCCTCTTTTCTGGAAGATTTAGGTATTCCTCGAAGCAAGTATCTCATTGCTTAAAAAAAGACCCTTCACATAGCAGAGTTTCTATTTTAACATTGTATTGGAACCTAAAACTATATTTAACACAGCACTTAAGAGAACTAATACAGCATAACTTTCTAATATCACACATATAATATTCACTGTAACATTTGCAAAAAGCCAATCATAACATATAAGTTTTTTACACCTGAGAGCATACCTCACACTACTAAGACGATTTAAGTAAAAGATCGAACTTTAATGCTGTACATAAAATCGGTATTATTATCGAAAACACAAAGACAAGAAATCCTTGCGATTAGGTGCTATAGTGTTATTCCAAATCTTCGTCCCATCTCCAAACCTAGTGAAACTTAACCTTAACAATCAAAGCCAGTTTTAAAGAGGCTTAAGGACCAGAAGATTTCACTACGGAAATGACGATTCCGAGCGTGAAAAAAAAAAAAAAAAAAAAAAAAAAAAANAAAAAAAAAAAAACCCAACAAAAACACGTCGTGGTTTCTAAACCAAAAAACACACCGGCATGCAGACACACACAGACTGCTGCCGGGACCGCTGCGCAGCACAGCGACACTTTAATTCCCTCAGAGCCCGCTCCTCTCCCCTCCCCGGGGCCGCCACCCGCCCTCAGCAGCGGCGCCCCGTTACCGTGCGCGCTCCCGCCGCCGCTGCGGCGCCGCGCGGGAACCCCGCCCCAGCGCGGGAACCCCGCCCCAGCGCGGGCCCGAGAGGCGCGGAGCGAGGCGGAACGAGCCGAAAGGAGCCGAGCGGCGAGGCGGAACGAGCCGAAAGGAGCCGAGCGGCGAGGCGGAACGAGCCGAAAGGAGCCGAGCGGCCAGGCGGAACGTGCCGAAAGGAGCCGAGCGGCGAGGCGGAACGTGCCGAAAGGAGCCGAGCGGCGAGGCGGAACGTGCCGAAAGGAGCCGAGCGGCGAGGCGGAACGAGCCGAAAGGGGCCGAGCGCGTCCGAGCGCAGAGGCCGCGCCCGGCCCCTCAGGCGGGCGCCGCGCTCGGGGCGCTGCGCGCTGCCTGGGTGGTCTGCCCTCAGTGTTGCTGCTGGCGGGGCCGGGTCCTGCACAGGGTCAAAGGGCTAACACCCACTTTGTGCGCCGGGCAGAAATCTCGGTGGTTATAGGGAAATGGCCAGATTGATTTTTAGCGTTGCTTTACCGCGCTAGCAGAAGGCAAAGGTCGGTGGCGACAGAATGAGGAAGTAGTTGTGACATGGCAGCGTAGAAGAGTTAGCAGTGAAATCCGAGTGATGTAATCAGCCAGAAATGTGTCCTGCCTAATGTGAGGAATATTGCACAAACACCAGAGGTTTATGTCAAAAAAGAAAAGTCCTTAATCTTTTTTCCAAATAAAAGGGAAGACTCCGAAGGGGCACATGGCCTCAGGGTTTTCGCTCTCGGGGTTTCAGAGACTCGTTTTGTCCCGAACTCTCGGACACATGTTGCCCTCTTCCTTTCCCCGTTGCTGAGGTATTAGGAAGTTACAGCCTTCCCAAACCACCTGCAGCATATCCCCCGTTGAACCTACTGTCATCTGATCAGAAGTTCAGGCTTGTGCAGACCCTTGTCTATCTCAGGAGCCAAGCTGTTAGGGCTCTGCAACAAACCTGCTGCCCAAAGTTAGTAGAGACATTAAGACCGATTCAAAGATGTTAACATCCACACCTTCACCCATCAAATTGTTTGTAAAGACATTAGTTTTCCTCTCACTAAGAAAAACCGTGGAAAAATGAGGCTATACTAGTCCTATAGAAACGATCATGGAACTGTTGTCCTAATGCATTTGCACCTGGAGAGTGGGGCGTGGGGGGTGGGTGGGGAAGCATAGCTTTTGAAAGGTCAAAATAAAAGTTTTGTACTGTAAAGGTAATCCTGCAAAACAGATTGCAGTTATTCTCATTGCTTAAATTTAAAATGCAAGGGTTAAGCTAAATCCAGTTCTGACATGCCGAGAAAAGACTCCACAATCAGCAAGGTTGTAAAGTAGGTATTATTCAGTGCCCTGGACACATGGGGGATCACTCTACCACAAATGTGCATGTCCGTTGTTGTGATTTACCTCACTTTTATCCACAAAGACGTTTCATATGCAAGATAATTGTGAAAAGACTATACATATTCATAACCTTTCCCCAAAAAGGCAGATATAACGAGTCCTGGGAAATAATTTCCATAGTCCCTGCCTTTGGCTTCTCCTGGTTGTGCCTGCAGAGTGCTTCCTGGTGATCATGGGCTGGGGGCTTTAGGATGAAGTAAGATCCTCTTATTCATGCTGAACTTTTCACCTCTGTTCTTGCATGCTCTTTGGACTCTTGGCGTTTTCCCAGACCTCAAAAGCCAGTTTTGGCCAGTTTAAGATACTCCAGGCAGCTAGTCCTTACTCTTATTGGGGACCAGTGTTTGTTTTTATCAGGAAATGTCCGTAAGAGGCCTTCCTAGCCCCTTTATCAATATCATAGGCCTTCTTAGCACCTTCATCAGTTCTTCCATCAGTATTTATTATAGATTTTTCCCACTTGGATTTGTATTAAATGTGAATAACTAACACATACAAATTTGTGTTTTAATGTTTTATTTGAGATAGTCACCATTGTATTAAAATAATAAAATGATTGGTCATCAGCTTGTTTTTAAATGTGGCTCTCAGAAGCTCCATAAAGTTTCTGTTTTAGCAATAGTGTTTTAGAGATACCTACATATATAAAATATGTATATATTTACATAACCTGTTACTCAAGGGCAATGTCATTTTTGATTCACGAGTACTGCAGAAGTTTAGTAATGTATGAACAAGAATAAATAATACAATGAAGCAGGTTTTATGTCTTGCTGATGGTAGGATACACTCTCTGTGTCCTGACATCAAGTCAGCAGTTCCAAGGGTCCATGATTTTAAGTACTTCTGGTGGAGTTTGTGCCAACTTCCAGTGCATCCTTGCAAAAGCAACTTAGTGTCCCTTGTTTAAAATATCAGTAACTATAGTAAATTAAATGTGACTTTAAAATTGTAACTGTGAGAATCATGGATCACTATTTAAAGTTTTTTTATTAAAGTTTAGTAAGGGATAAAAGGTACGATATCCTGTGCTGGGATGCTTGACAATCTGCCAAAAGCACACTGTTAGCTTCAAACAATTTTCTTAAATGTGTTTCATTGCATTGGTTAAATGCTTATTAATGAGGTTTATACATATTCAAACATTCCTGTGAGTTTACATGTTCTAGGAACTCTTTTGCTTGGTTTTAACCTTTGACATGCCATCCTGTAGATTAAATCAATATATTTTATTTCTTTTTGAGGCTCCATTCTGTTGTTTTGATGCTTCCTAATAACCGGAGAGTCAGTAGTACATTTTTTTCTTGGTGTCCTGATCCTCGTCACTGTTATAATTCATATAAGATAGTCCACAACTGTGAGAAACAACAAAGCTATTTCACACCATTATCTGAGCTAGTTACACAAATAAAAACATTTTAACATCACATAATCTCTATTTTAGTATTATGATAAGGCCTAAGATATATGTTCATCCCACTACTATTTATATATAAGCTATATAGTGCATACATAATTCCCAAGTCCTCTGCCCTGGCAATGGCCATAACTAACTACCATAGAATAGTCCTCCTAGGGGGAAAAGACAGATTCCCCCATGGACTTCCCCTGGTTTCTCCTTTCCCTGTTCCCTCACTGGTTGGATACCCCTGGTGGCTGTGCCCTTTCCCCTGGAGACCAGTCCCCTCTGCCCAGCCCTTAGCACTGTTTCCCACCCCTCCTCTTCTTAAGCTGCCTGCACCAGGTGGTGGCTCTCCCTGGGTTCCCTTCACCCTAATGTGACCTCACTGGAATGAAACCTTGCAAAAAGAGCCTTTCTTGCCTCTCTCACTGATCCAGCTGCAGTGAGTGTTGAGTGAGGGTCTGACTATGTTGCCTGAAGGTTTAACTCAACTTGCTTTTCTACAGAAGAGGCTTGTTGGGAACAGATATTAGGCAATAGCACCCAACATCCATCTCCCACATCTTTATAGGTAGATCTCTCTGTAATAATAACTGAGCTGAATTTTCTACGAGCAATTTAATGTTTCTTTAGAATGGAAATATGTAATAGCAACTTACTTTAAAAGCTGTTTTTAGCTTTGGTGTAGTCAAACTCACTGAAAAGGTAAAAATAGTGCTAGATTTAGCTGTGCCATGGTTCTTGAATTTTGTAGAAAATAAAGCCTGTACTGGCTTCATTCAACTTCACTGAGTGTGTTAGCTCTTCAGTAGTGGAGAACATGGTTGTAAAGGTATATTTGCAAGGCTTCAGGAGTCCGAGATTGTCAGTATGAGAATGGAAATGAATACAACATCACTAATTTACTCTGATTCTGAAAGAAATGGCTCCGTGTTGATAGTGACTAATGATAGTCTTTCTAAAATGCTTGCTGATTGCTGTGGACAGCAGTCAGGGAGTAATATCTGAATGCCCTGATGCCCTGTTTAATTGGTGCTGCAGCCTTTAGAAAAAAATTGCAAGTTCTATAAAGAATGTAACTAAGTGCCATTGGGTGCACTGCAGTAATTGGGAAAAATAAGTGTTGGAGTGCCTGCAAGAAATGAGACAACTGTGCTTCTGTCTGGTCTCAGTTACCTTCTAAATCTCTTATTTGAGTTAATAAACTGTGCTGAGGTGGATGTCAGAAAAAATCCCCAATAACTCTCATTTAGCTTAATAGAATTATTAAAAATAATATAAAATGTCATTATTTTTATATTTATATTATCTAAATTATTTAGAGCGAGAATCTGGATTGTACCCATTTTAATGTAGGGGCTAGGTTACACACCAGAATTATCTATTTTTAATGCTTTTCAGTAAAACAGTAACAATATGACAGAAGGCTTGTCAGTTCTTCATTTGGGCTTGCTCTTCATTCTTAACCTCTCAATTCCACCCATGCTTCATGAAGGCTCTGTTCAGAGTTGATATGCTGGGTAAAGTTTAAAAGAAGCTCTGATTTTAAGTTGTTCACTGGAAGTGAAAAAAGTGAGATGCTGGATGTGCGAAAGGAATGTGTTGTCAAATATTTTAGCTTATGTAGGTTGTGATTAGTGCATTGTAAAAGACTTTGCTTTTCTCACTTCTTACTATCAAAATAAAATTTTGATTTGTCTTAAGAAGTCAAAGTTATTATGAGGGAAGCAGAAATCAATGTTATCTGGTGCTTCAGCATTCTGTAATAGTATGCTTTGAAGTTGTAAACAGTTATACTTTGGGACAGTATAACTAGTGTCTTTACTAAGCATCTCCCTGATTAGTTTCCAAGCAGTCCTCCCTGGGAAACAATTGGGCAAATACTAAAGAGCCTGATCCAAAGCATCCATTGGTCTAAATATGAGTTTCTTGATATTGAAAAGATGGAATCCTTTTGGTGTGAGTTTTTACTCTT